TTCCCTGAGATAGAGGGTCGCCTTATTATTGCTAGGAAGAGTTGGGAGTCTAAACTGCCAGCTTACCTCAGCATCACTGTAAGGAATTACTGAAATATTTTCCAAAGTAGCAAGCTTGTTTTCATTCCCATTAAGAATTCATGAATGTGCACTTGCTTAATATCACTGTCAATTCATGGTATTGTCATATTTTTAAAAAAACTATTCTAACAGGTTTTATTGATATTATGTTTTTAATTTGCATTTCAATAATGGCTAATGGTGTTGATTACACATTCTTGTGCTTATTTTTGTCTTTATGTCTACTTTGATGAAAATTTTTAAGTCATTTGCTTGTATTTAAAATTTTAATAATTAAAATTATTTTTGTTTTATTATTGAGTTTTAGTTATTTACAAGTTGTAGCTGTGTGTGGTGACATACCTATAAACCTAACTATTCTAGAATCTGAGGTAGAAGGATTTTAACTTCAAGGACACTATAGGAACTTAATGAGACACTCGCTCTATATAAAATCATAAAAAATGCTGGGGATATAGTTTAGTTGTAAATGTCCTAGAATTCAATTCCGAACAGGAGAGGGGACAAAAGCAATTGGTTGAGATTTTTCTATATCTTGGTTGGTGATTTTTTAAGTTATCTCTGTGGTTTTTGAAATATTGTCTGGAGACTCTGAATCTTGTTAAATCTTTTCAGGATTGTTTTGGCTGGCCTAGGATGCCTTAAGGGTTGGTCTGGTAAGGCATGAGGATATGGGGATCGAACCACAGAATCCTGAGCCTGACTGCCTTGTTTAAGCAGGCACTTAAACAACTGAGCCAATGAGCAGCCCCACTTGTTAAATCTTTTCATATGTCTCTGATGATATTATTCATGAGATGGAGCGTTACCTCATTACTACTAGGAAGAAGAGTTTGGAGTCTAACCTGCTAATTTAGCTCTGCTGCCACTGTGTTGAAGGAAATGTGAATGGTTGCTGACTGTTGCATGTAGAAGTCTAGGCTTTGTACTCTGCTTTCCTTGACAGAGATCATGGCTTTGTTTTATTTATTTCACTTTTTCTCAAGTGTTGTATGGGTGGAGTGGAGTAGAGATTTCTTTCATGCTTATGTGCTCTTTCCCTGTTTTTTGGACTAGACATACTTGGTGTTCTTGGAGACATTTATTTTTGTCTATATCTTTTATCATCTCTGGGTTGTTGGTTTCTCTATTACCTAATTTAGGATGTATGGGAAAAATGAAAACCCAAAGAACTTACTGCTCCGAGTTACACCTATGGTGGTATATGTATTTCTTAAGTTTATATATCCTTCTCCTTTCCACCTCTGAGACTCATGTTTGTTTTATGGATTAATTTGATGGTTTTCCTACTTAACTAATAGGGCATCTATAAATAGATATATCTCCTCCTTTTTATTGGGAGCCAGAGGTTTCAGCTTGTTTTTCCTTAGCTTAACAATCTGATTTTTTGTCATATATTAATATCTAGTTTAATATTCATCTTAAATATTAAGAAATGTGATTTAGATCTTTTTCAATTGAGCATATTGTCTTACCAATGTTAAATTAGACAGGAACCTGTTGAGTTTAATGTACATCAAGACCTATCTCTCTATCTATCTCTATTTGTCTATTTCATGCCTGTTGTGCTCCTAGTGACCCTCCTGTCTCAGCCTCTCCAGTGCTGGGATTGCAGGCATGTGCTACCATACCCTGTCTCTGAGCTAGCTCAGGCATGCCCAGCCCAGAGGGGCGTGCCATGCTGTACTGCGACCTAACTCTGGACCTGTGCTTGCCAGGCAGGTGCTTAGACTGCCCAGCTGTCTCCCTATCCTGTTAAGTTGTTTTTAATGAAAATATTATTTTAAAATATTTGTGGCTAGCCATGAAGGTACATGCCTGCAATCCTCTTGCCTCAGCCTCCTGAGCTCTGGGACTACAGGCATGTACCACCACATCTGGCCTAAAGTTTTATTTCAGCTATCTGGCACGTTTGTCTTCTGGTTTTGTTTTGATTCTGTTTCTTATAGGCT